AGAAGCAGCAGTGGGTAGGAGAGCTGAAGGCCCTAGGCAGAGTTCAAGCAGTGAGAGGGATTGGGTGAGCACAAGCCCTTGCTCACTGAGTCAGGTGAACGTGCATTATGCAACTTTCTTTGGGTCTTCAGTGGCATGGAGCCCTGCTGCTTCTGGAGATGTTCTGATCACACGATTCATGCTGATTTTCATCATACCCTAAGTTCACCTCAATGCTTCCTCAGATCACTTTCCTGATAAACAACTTTGTGTCAAATCTCTGGATAAAAGCAGGTCTCATAGGACAAGCAATCTAATACCCATGCTCCCAACCCAGTGACACTTTCCTTCTGCAAAAGTCTAACATAATGTAGAGGGTTTCATGGTGTCAGGATCAAGCCTTGATTTTTGGTTCAATCTTCTGAACATATTGCCTATTTATTGATTTATTATTTTTCATTTCTTTTTAACACTTTTGAGTTTTTAAATATATCCTGGATATTAATATTCTGGGCAATGAATAACTGGTAAAGTTTTTTTCCCAGTCTTTCTCTTCATTCTGTTGTTTCTTCTTTAATGAGATTCAATTTGTCAATTCTTACTATCATTTTGAATGTTCTTATATTTTTCCTCTTGTGGTTTCAACTTTTCAAATTTTGAGTTAAAGCATTTTATCCATCTTGAGTGAGCATTCGTCTAGAGAGATGAGCAAGGGATACATTTCAGTTCCCTATGTGAGCATCCTGTTTTCCTAACCCAAGTTGCTAAGGGGACCCTTGTAGTGGTATTTGCTCTGCCCATGACCTTGGGCTATAGGGCCCAAAAGAGGTGGTGCTTCTTGCCTTAGTATGTGACCTCTTAAAAAGTAAGGGAGAAGGGTTGAAAGCCCCTTCTCCCTACTGCCTGCTTCCTGGTCTGATCAAGCTGCCAGGTGGATTCACTTCTGGTCAGAACAGAGGATGACTCCAGCTGTTACCTTGGTTCTGTATTTGTGAGTGTAGGTCCTCAATTTTATCTTAATAAATACCCATTAAACAGACTCACACGGATTGATCTTAATGGACCCTCCCCTAAAATATGTTCATAGCAACTTTATTAAAACTCAGATGGCTATAGTGCATGAGTTTATTTCTGGATCCACTGTTATGTTCCATAGATCTGCATACTTATCTATTCTTATGCCAGTTCTGTCCTGTTACTGTTACCACACCTCTACAGGGTACTTAGAGTCTGTGTGCAATGCCTCCAACAATTGTTCAATGAGAAAGAAACCAGTAAATGGATTCCATTAACAAAAACTCACTATCTTCTCCTCCAAATAAAATACCAAATCCCACCTAAAATTCTATGCATTTCCTTAAAATCCAATGAACTGTTCCTTGGATGTTTGTAAAACAACCCTCAAATTTAAAAAATAAAGGGGGGGGGCAGAGAGAGAGAGAGAGAGAGAGAGAGAGAGAGAGAGAGAGAGAGAGAGAGAGAGAGAGAACAAAGTATCAAGAATAGACAACGTGGTCTTGGGTGGAAAGACAACTTTTTGTTTTGTTTGTTTTTCTATTCTGCTGTCTGCATTTTCTTATCTATAACCAGCTGTTGGGGGAAATGGCTAGAGATATCATGTATCTGTGTTAAGGAACTTTGTATCTAAGCTGTTGGGGGAGGAAACTGAATGTAAGCAAGTCAATGACTTGGGCTAAAGCATGCTGTATTAAATGTTTACAACTTTAACCAATAAGTTATAATAAAACCAGATTAGCTGGGTAGCACCCAAACTTTTAAAGAATGGTTATATAAAGAGCCACTAAGAGCAGAGCCTGAAGCAGGAATTTTGTTTTAACTGAAAATAGATATTTTTTCATATAATATATTCTGATTATGGTTTCCCCTTCCCCAACTCCTCCAAGATCCTCCCCAACTCCCCATCCATCCAAATCCACACTCTTTCTTTATTGCTCTCATTAGACTATAAGCAGGCATTTAAAAATAGTGTAGGTAAAATAAAAAGCAAATTGAGATAGAATGGTACAAAACAAACAAACGAGAAAAAATAGCCTCAGAAAAAACACGAGAAACACATGGATGAAGAGACACACACATTTGCACACCCTAAAATCCCATAAAAACACACCTTCAGAAACCATAATTATGTGCAGAAGACCTGTAAGGGAAGAAAATAAACAAAGAAAAAACAAATGAAAATATTGCCCAGACAATATGCATTATGAGACAAGGACCCTCCAAAGCTATTGAGTTTGTTTTGTGTTGGCCATCTACTGCTAGGCACAGGACCTGCCCTTAGGAGTAGTTTGTTTACCCAATGAACCCCATATTCAGTTATGTGACTCCATTCGTCACAACTCAGAGTTTAGGAAACCGAGCTGTGTATAATAGAATAGGGATAGGCCAGATAGCAGTTACATAATTTGTTTATCTAGTCCTGATGTTAGTTATCCATTTTGTTTTATAGCAGGTAGATTTTAGCAAAAAGCATATAGTACTGTCTCTTCCGTTTGGTGCTTTCTACTTTTAAAATAAACCCAATCATTGGACTCCATCCCCTGTTGGTCTAGCCTCATCAATGTGGGTCAGTGTTACAATTGGCCTATGATAATAAAGAGACTTAGCATTACTTCATTCTATGGTGATCAGAGTTGCTATTGAATATGACAAGAGACACAAATGCAGGGAATGTGGGCAGTGTAGTGAGGGACTCTCAAGTCTAGAGGCTCACTGGGATCATCTGTGGACTTCTACAAATTGCTGATGCTCAGACCAGTTAAAAGAAGACTGTCCAGGGCACGAACCAGGATTTGACAGTTTGTAATACTCTGTGGATTATCCTCCTGCAGCCAGTCATGAGATCACGGTTTAGAGAATGTGCTCTACCCGTTTAGGAGAGGAAAGGGGCTCATCTGATTTATTTTATTCTGTGGCTTTGAGCCCAGTACTGTGTGGTCTTAGACAAGTCTTGTACCAAGAGACCTTTCTTTTTTAAAAAAATTATTTTTTATTAAGATTATAATACAATTACATCATCTTCCTCTTCTTGTATATGTGTGTGTGTGTGTGTGTGTGTGTGTGTGTGTGTGTGTGTGTGATGTATATATAAATTCCTATACATAAATACAACCTGCACAGTCTGTGTAATATACTTGTATGTATTTTTTCGAGAAATGACCACTTGGTATGAATAACCAATTGATATGTTTTTCCCTGGTGACTCTTTGTGTAGGGTTGAGACCTCATAAGCTTTCCCCCATCCACGCTACCATGTCTATTGATGTCAGCCGTGTTCAACTCATGTTTAGGCAGCCATGTTGGTGAGACTTTGTGGGTGGAGCTTCTGACATTCCTAGGAGACACAGTCTCACAGCAAACTCCCTGATGCTCTGGCTGTAACAATCTTTCCACTCCCTCTTCAGCAAGGATCCCTGAGCCTTAGGTACAGGAGTTATGTTGTAGATGTATCAGTTGGGACTGGGCTCCACAACTCCTCTAGTAAATCAAGAAATCTTCCTATCCCTATTCCTGTGGAAGCAGAGGTGTCCTTGCTACTGTAGCAATCCAGGGGAAAATCTCTCTCAGGACATATCGTCATTTAAATCCTTCATCTTGTCAAGCTTTACAAATATGAGCTTATGAGAAAAAGCCTGTAGACTTGGTGTTTGTTGAACAAATTGTCATAAAAATATTTCATAAAGCTTGGCCACTAAATGGTCCTAATTAAGAAATGTAATAATGTTAACACACAGTTATCCCCTGTCCATCTGTTTCTTGACCGACAGAGTTCAGTAGAGCAATTGAAGCATCCCTCATATTTGAAACATTAATCACCTAGCTAATTGGATGGGTGTTTTGTGCCCTTTAAGTATTTAATGTGTACCAAAATAGATACATATCAATCTCTTTTTATTTACATGTGTGACATATATATATATATATATACACGTCACATATTTCACATGTGATATATACATACATTTATCACATAAGTAATATATATGTGATATATAAAATCACAAAACACACACACACGTGTGTATATGCATATATACACATGTGTAAAATGAACATTAACGGAATGTTCACCACCACTTGAAACACAAAACAGGAGTCTCCTACTCAAAAACCGAGCTGAAAGTAGGACATTTGGGTTTAAATTAGAATAAGTGACAATACCACTTGATTATCAAATGGAGTTGCAAAGTAAATCGTGGCAAAAGGCAGGATATGACTACCTATGTTCTGTTAAGCCAGAAACTTAGGTTGGAAAAGAAAAGAAATAATTCCACAGGCCAGAGCCGAGAAATCTGAATTTTTAAGCCAGTTGAGGTCTGTAACCCATTGTGGAGAAAAGCCCTATAAATGACTATTAAAGGGGTGTTTCTGGCAAAAGAAAAAAAAGTTTGGGGAGGGGGTAAATATCAACATTTCCCATTCAGTTTTCCACTTTGAAATTGGTCTAGAAAATGTATGAGTCACATGATGAAGACCTTACTTTGTTCATGCCAATGGTCCTAATATTCACATCGTCAGCGCCCACCTGACCCATTGTGGATGAGCCATTGGTATAATAATCCTTTATCTTCCTGGGTCACCAGAAACAATTATGGGTCTTTAAAAATCATGATTATCTAAGAATAGACAGTAGAGCCATCCACCATGATGCTAAACCATACAGTGACTAGATGCACAATGTCATGTGACAATTGTTTGTCAAGAAATTAAGGCAAGAAAGACACTTAGGAAATGGTTCAGCAAGAGCTGATGATAAATCTTAATATCAGGAAAAGGAAATCACGTTTTTCATCCACCTTCATAATTTAACCAGGAGAAGAAACTTAGCGAATTTGATAATCACCTGTTTATCAACACAAACAATAACAGGGAAAGAATGCTGCCTGTGAGGACAGCAGCCCCTCAGCGGGGTATAAAAGGGAATGTGGGCAGGGAGACTCCTACTTCCAAACCTTCCAATCCACATTCTTGTAAACTCACCCAGAACCTTCACCTCCGACACCATGGTCAACTCCTGTTGTGGCTCTGTCTGCTCTGAGGAGGGCTGTGGCCAAGGCTACTGCCAGCCCAGCTGCTGCCAGCCCAGCTGCTGTGTGTCCAGCTGCTGCAGGCCCACCTGCTGCATCTCCAGCTGCTGCAGGCCCACCTGCTGCCGCCCCAGCTGCTGTGTGTCCAGCTGCTGCCGCCCCTGCTGTGGCAGTTCCAGCTGTTGTGGATCAAGTTGCTGCCGCCCCAGCTGCTGCATTTCTAGCTGCTGCAGACCTTCCTGCTGCCGCCCCAGCTGCTGTGTGTCCAGCTGCTGCATCTCCAGCTGCTGCAGGCCCATCTGCTGCATCTCCAGTTGCTGCAGGCCCACCTGCTGCCGCCCCAGCTGCTGTGTGTCCAGCTGCTGCCGCCCCTGCTGTGGCAGTTCCAGCTGTTGTGGATCAAGTTGCTGCCGCCCCAGCTGCTGCATTTCTAGCTGCTGCCGCCCCAGCTGCTGTGTGTCCAGCTGCTGCAGACCTCAGTGCTGCATCTCCAACTGCTGCCGCCCCACCTGTTGCCAGACCACCTGCTGCCGCCCAGCATGCTCTAGCAGTTCTTGCTGCTGAGCGCTCTCACCCAGTCTCCTGATCTTCAACACCCAGAGCTCCTGATGTGGCCCACCTGTGAGCTGATCCTGAGAGGCCCAGTGTGAAGCCTCTGTTCCAACTGATAATGATTTGGGCCTCCAAATACGCGTTCACTGCTGCTGCCTGCTGAGTGTCTCTTTACAACATGCAAACGAGTGTGTGTTTTCTCTGGAATCTGTCAACTCTCACCTTAACCCAGCAGAAATCTTTGTTGTCTGCTATATTTTTAAAAACAGAGGTTTTGGGACACTTGGCTCAGCCTGGGAGGAGGGGACTGGACCTGCCTGGACTGAATCTGCCGGGTTGAACTCAATCCTCAGGGGAGTCTTTGCCCTGGAGGAGATGGGAATGGGGGGTGGGCTGGGGGGAGGGCGGGAGGGGGGAGAGCAGGGGAATCCATGGCTGATATGTAGAATTGAATTGAATTATAAAATAAAAACAAAAAACGGAGGTTTTCTCATATGTAAAATAAATAATTTTCAGTTTTACAAATATAAAAAAGCCACGTTTCCTTGTTTCTCTTTCTCAAATGGTTGTTCCCACCTCCGAACTTCTAGTTAGCTCATCTATAAATAGCAAAGGAACTCCAGCCAGTCATTTCTAGTATGCCCATTCTGCTCCTTCTGCATGCCCCCTCCCAGTACAGAAAGATGGTTTCATAGACCGAGCACATTAAACTCACTTCCTGATGACTTTTTCTGACAGAGAGGAGGCTTAAATAGGAGAGTATTTAAGTATTCTATGCAAAGCACTCGAGCAATAAGAGGGTGGGTGTGTAATGCTCTTTTCCGATTCCTTTGAACAGACATGCGTCCTTCCCTTAATAATGTTACCCCCACCCCATGGCTGAATTTCCTAACAATGTTATCTGAAGTCATCTGGAGGTTAGTCCTCTACTGTCAGTTGTTGCTAAGGATAAGATTTGTCCCATTTGGTTCCACAACGGGAGAGGTGTAAGTGACAGATACCAAGGAGTTAGTGTCAGTAAACCTTTAACCCACCAAGAGGTGTGCAGGGAAAGATGCTTAGGGTAGGTTTATCTGAAGTCTATTCTGTTTGTCCAGTAGGTAACATTTTAACATCTTAAAAATATAATGTAGCTTCTCTTGTCAGAGCTTGCACTTCTGTAAAATGTTCTCAGACTACCCTTAATTATAAAGGGAACTGTTAGCAAACAATAGGTATAAAACTTTTAAAAACACATTCAAAATGAGTAAAACTAATTTGAAAATTAAGTTCCTAGCTACAGATTTACAAATGTCTAGTGCCTATTAATTTTTAGAAGACTTACATAGAGCTATGTCTCTCTCTCTCTCTCTCTCTCTCTCTCTCTCTCTCTCTCTCTCTCTCTCTCTCTCTCTCTCACACACACACACACACACACACACACACACACACACACACACACACACATACACACACCAAAAAAAAAAAAAAAGATCTGGCCACAGATAGCATCATTATACAGAAAAGGTATATAGGGGTCCTCTATGTATTAATTTAGCTTCTGTTTCTAAAGCAAAAATTAGACTCTTTGGTTCTTTGGTTTAGTAGGCTAATTTGATAGCACACCTAAAACAGCATCACCAGCTGGAGACCAGGTGTTTAAACCATAACCCTATGGGGACATTCTCCATTCAAATAAGAGTGTTGCATTTCAAAAGTAGAATTTGAGGCTGGGTATGGAGATATATCCAACAATAGATATGATGAGAAAAAATGTTATTCACAGGAGTATCCTCCTCCAAAAAAAGGTGTAACTAAAGCATAACCAACATTGGGAAAGACTTCCACAATAAAAGTGTGAAACCCTGAAGAAACATGATGAAAAAGGCATTAGAAGTTGGAGAGACTGACCGGTGATTATAGATGGGCAGAATCCATGTTGTGAAAATGGCCACGTCAGCTAAATGCATCTACAGATTCATTGCAACAACCACAAAACTTTGTTGACATTCTTCATGGAAGTAGGAAATAAGAGAAACCTAAAATTCATATGGAAACACTTTTGTAAAATACTCCAAGTATCCAAAGCAATGTTGAACAACTAAAAAGTAACAGCATTCTTACAGTATATATTATATTATACCTGACTATATATGTATATGTACTTTTATATATTATGTAAGCATTAAGTATGAAAATAGAGACTGTGCCATTTTAATTCTTTTGCTCTTTTTACTGATATTTAAAATACTTTTCTTAAATCTTAGGGAATTTCATAGAGTGTGCCTTGATCATACATACCTGCTACTCCTCCCCCACTTCTCCTAGGTCAAACTTTACCTCCCTGCCTGCCCTCCCCACAACTGTGTGTCCTTTCTTGGTTGCTTTTAATAACTCTTGACTCCATTGTGCTGCTTATATACCCCTGTGTATGGAACCACCCACTGAAGTGTGGCTGACCTCCTAGGAGTCAACATCCTTAAAGAAAACTGACTCTCCCTTGCCCCGAAGTCTTCAACTGCCTATAGCTCTTCAGTTAGGAGTTGGGAGTTTGTGAACCATTTCCTGCACCATACAAGAACTGTGATTAGCTTGATTTACACTTTCCATGACCCTCCCTCCCCCTTTCATGATAGTCCCTTGTCTTTGAGGAGTGTGAACAAACAGTCCACACTCACATATTCTCTGCACTTTGACCGGTTCTAGGTTTCTGTGTTGATCACTGTTCACTGTACTGTTCACAGCTCTCTGATGAGAGCTGGGAGCTGCCTTAATCTGTGGATACAGAGATACCAATACAGAGGGCAGTTTGACACTACGTATATTTAGCAGAATAATAGTGCTACATTCTTCCCTGGAGGTTGTGAGTTCCCTAACCATAGATTCTTGGCCATACTTGTAGGATCAGGCATGTATTTGCCTGTGCAGATCAGGTGTAAATTCAATCAGAAAGCAGTTGATTGTACCCATCAAAATCATGCAACTATTATACATGCAGACAAATCTTGCCACCCTGGTCATTATTAAAATTTGTAGGATTCACAGCTGGGTAAACTCTTGAGGACTGCTTCGCCACAGCAGCCTGAATTATGCTTTGCAATACTATGAAAGACAGCCAGGAGGGAAGAAGTTTCCTGGTAACAAGGAATTTAAATTATCTGCACCTGTGGTCAATGTGTATGGTGGTGACACCAGCAACAGGGTTTTGTCATCAAGTTTTGGTGTCAGTATATCTGGAGCATGGGGAAATGCTGTGGCAAAGGCTTTACAAGCATATGGATACTGTTTTTAGGGGTGCCTGGCCTGAAGTAGTCAGTGGAATAGGCTGAGGTTTTACCAATTAATGCTATGGGCTAAAAGAGTTCTGTGAGTGAGCGAATACAACCCTGGCATCTACTTACAGGAGCATTGCATAAGAGTAAGTTGTAATTATTCAAAGAACAACCCAAGGCAAGATTTCCTGTACAAATGACTTATAAGGATAAAACTAGTGATTTACTGAAGAAAAGATGATAGAGCAGAAATACATGAGCTGAGGTGCATTCTCGGTGGACTCTATTTCATTTGACACATGAGGACGATGCAGAGCATGCGTGAGACCACAGCTCTTCCTCTACTAGAGCCTAAGGGTCTTGATCTTTCCAGAACTGTCAGTTATCATCACTGGTAGCTACTGAGGGAAGGAGGAATGGGTACAGAAATGACAAACATGTCTAGAGGAAGTGGCATCTACAGCTGAGGGCAGTGATCTAGAGGGCAGCACATACTGTTTGAACCACCTGCACTGTATACTCACACATAAGAATGAGGAAGTTTTGGGGGTTTTAAGTACTGGCATACAGTGTCGTAGAATCCACCCCCACCCAACTGCTTCTCTTATTCTGGTTACACTGTGTGGTTTATCAGCATTACTAGAGAAGGTATCACAGGTGTGCCAGTGGCCAGATGTCTGCTGTTCTGGATTACTCACCTTGAAGAGCCACTGTGATGCTTGATGTTAATTGTCAACCTCATGGGTTCTTGAGTTGCCTAGGAGATGAACTTATAGGGATACCTAATGAGGAATGACATAGTCTCTGAGCATGCCTTGAGTTAATTGACTTGGGGAGAACCAAGTTAACTGTGGGAAAGATCACTCCCCAGATGAGGATCTGGATGGTATAAAGTAGAGACAGCAGCTGGTAGCTCATACTCATTCTGTGCTTCTGGACTGTGAATATCATATGAACAGCCACTTCAAGTTACCACTGCCTTAACTTCTCCAAACTGAAGGACTGCACTTGAATAAATCTCTGCTCCATAAGAGATTCTGTCTAATTATTTTATTACGGAGTCAGGACAAGACACTAATACAGCTGCCAAGCTCCTATCTGGAGACTTCTGATCTCTTGGTTTCTAAGTTCACACTGGACTGTCTGCCTTGCTACTTCCCCATGCACAATAAAAAAAAACTAACTAAAAACGTCAGGATGGCAATAGTGTGTCATCTAATGGTCAATGTGGTCTCCTACCCTTGACGCACAGAGGTGCTCCAACTTCCTCATGATGATGAGGTCACTCACATTTGAAATAGCTCCTTTTTTGACTGGACATCAGAACTAAAATGTCCATAACCTCCACTCCTTCTCTGCAATCTGTAAACTCTCATCTCATGCCCATGTCACAGTTTGTACTTTGCAATATTTTCGAAAGTGAAGGTTTTCACATACCTTAAATAAAACTGAACACTGTAGGAATACACATTAAAGCTTCATGTCTCATCATTTCATTTTCATTGCCTACATCTCTAGAAACATTGAGTTCATCTTTGAAAGATGAGTAAATGACAGTAGCTAATTTCTGAAATGCAGCTCTGGTGGTTTGAATAAGAAAGGCCTCCAAGGAGCTATAGATGTGAAAACTTGGTCTCCTGCTAGAATTTTTTGGGAAGGATTAGGAGGTGTGGCCTTATAGGAAGGAGTGTCACGGGGGCAGGCTTGGAGGTTACAAAATCCAAACGCCATTCCCAGTTAGCATTCTCTGCTTTGTGGTCC